ATGGGAGATATAGCAATTGGAATACTTTCGACTAGGATTGGCTAAAAGTTTTACAACTGAAGTTTAACACGCCCAGATACAGTTTTATAAAGAAAACAGACAAGAAAAAGGTTTAGATACCAATCATAGATGGCAGAACCAGTGCTGAGGTGAAAGGAAATATCTTAAAAAATTTTTGAAAAAAACATTTCTTCGTAGAGGGCGCTTATTTACTCAGCTAAATCAAAAGTTCAGCAAGATGACAGTGAAGTTAAAGAACTTTATAATTTTAGAGCATGTATCTGAAATGTTCTACACGATTAAGTGTCATTTATCTGTAGAAAAGTTTTGCAAAACCTATCACGTATGTTGTGATAGGGCCCCAAAAGAAATGTCACATAAAATTACAACAGTTCAGTGTTTTAGTACCATGTGAAATAGCTGCTACTGTGTGTCATTCTTTTTGATAAGCTATAAGACTAAAATGCAGAAAGATTGGGATTGTACTCTAAAAATTTTTATATTTGGTAGAAATGAAATTGGTAATTAAAACACTCAGGTTTGGAAGTACACAATTTAAAACTTTATTCTAAGAATGTCAACAGTGTCAAAACAAACACTACATGTTTTGACGTACAATCACATCATCTTCAAGAGTGGAAAAATTAAAAAAAAAAGTACAAATCCTATATTCCAAAGTAATTAGACATATGACTACTTAATTTACATACTGAACTTAAATAAGATCATGCCATCTGCATACTTTTTAACTTGATAATCCTTCATCTTTATTCAAGATATGCAATTATTTTATTTTAATGTTTCATTATTTCTATAGATTCTGTAATAGTTTTAGCTCACGTATCATTTACTTGAGCCAAAATAACAGTTTTCCCCCCCTCCACTGAATATGACCAGTACGAGATAAATGTTCGGCTGATGCAGAGTTTTCACTTTTATTATTTTTAACACATATGTTTATTTATTCTAAATTTCTATTAGTTTGACTAATGTATACACAACTACATTCAATTTTGTAAATATCTGTTTTTCCCATTACATTAATTACATCTTTAAAAGCTTTGATTTTAATTTTAGCTTGTATTTTTTTTTTTTTATCATGATTTTGTAATGTTACAAAATTTTCCCATGGCTCTATCAACAACATTAGGTGAAAAACCTCTATCTAATGCTACGTATTTAATTAATAACAGTTTATTTTTTAAGTCTTCTTGTTTAGAACATAGCTTTAAAGACCTGTAAACATAAGAATAAAATGCTGACATATTTAAGGAATTTGTATGACATGATAACAGTAAAAGGTTTATGATAAACAGTGATTTCTAACTTACTTTTTTTTTTTCTTAACTAATACATCAAGAAACAGTAAACTATTATTTTTTTCTATCTCATAACTAAACTTAATAGTGGGTTCTAAACTATTTAAGTAATTGGCAAAATCTATCAAGTTTTCTTTACCATGCAGCCACACCACAAAAGTGTCATTGACATATGTAATCCATATTTCAGATTTAAGTTTAGTGTTCTTTAAAGCATCAGTTTCAAACCTATCTTTGAAAAGATCACACAACAAGGGAGACAATGGAGAACCCATGGCTAGGCCTTCAGACTGTTTATAGATCTTATCATTAAATTAAAAAAAAATGAATTTTCCTCACGAGGTTTTGTTGAATTTATCATATCTAAAGTTTCAACAACTGAGACATTATATATTTGTAATTTGTCTTCAATTTAATAATAATATCTATAAATAGACTGAAGGCCTGTCCATGAATTCTCCATTTCCTTCCTTCTTGTGTGATCTTTTCATGGACAAGTTTGAAACTAATGCTTTAAAGAACACTAAACTTAAACCTAAAATATGGACTAGATATGTTGTTGATTGTTTGAAAATTACGATTCAACAAAAAAGTAGTGTTGTGACAAATCAATAAAACAGTTTACCACCTTTACCTGTCAGTGACGAAAAAGTGTAAAGAACAACTTGGAGAAAACCATTTGGATATGTATGCAGAGAAATTTAGAGAACTACAAATTAAAGTTGGAAAAGAAGTTCAATACTTTATTTAATAGATATAATACAAAGAAAAATCAAACTAAGTTACAATCATTATTTGAACCATCTGTAAACTTAATAAAATATATTGAAATAATTAACAAATAAAATATTGTGTTAAACAATAGGCAGCTTGACTTGCTTAACAAAGAGATGGGATTTGCTTGTATAGCTAAACAATTTTTGAACAGAAGAGTTTATTACAGAAAAGGAAACATATTTAAGTAAAGTTAAGGATATTAATAAGGTTGATATTATTAGAGTTTAATGTAAAGAAATATCAGGTAATTTTAAAATCAATTTAAAGAAAAATAAAGGTGTACAGGTTTCAAAGTCGTTAAATGAGTGGGATTTTATAATCTGTAAAGATAAAAAAAGTGATCATTTAGTTATCCAAAATCAACAGGATTATACTACAAACGTTGAAGAGATACCAGATGAAGGTATGTACAGAAAGGTTAATAGAATTTGTAAAAAAAAAATAATAAGCAAGATAAATCTAAATAATGATGATATGCTTGTGTCTTTTGATATTATTTTGATCATTATTTCATAAAAGTACCAGCTGATAAAACTATTAATTATTTTGAAGAAAAATTATAATTGAATAATATCTTGGTTGTTGAAACTTTAGATACAAGTTTAACAAAAACTTGTGTGAAAAATTAATTATTTCAATTTACTAACAAGATCTACAAACAGACTGAAGGCTTATATATGAATTCTCCATTGTTTTCCTCATTATGTTTCTATGGATAGTTTTGAAACTAATGCTTTATAGACTAAAATCAAACCCAAGATGTGGATTAGATATATCAATGACATTTCTGTGGTGTGGCAGCATGGTAAAAAAAACTTGATGTGTTTTACTAATTTCTAAAACAGCTTTGAACCCCTTATTAAGTTTACTTATGAAATTGAACAACAAAATAAGTTTATCATATACCTTTTTCTGTTATCATGCTGCCACACCAATAATGATGTCATACAAACTTTAAAAACATTCCAGCATTTTATTCTTATGTTTACAGGTCTTTACAACTATGTTCTAAACAAGATTTAAAAAATGAACTGTTTAATATTAATTAAATATGTAGCATTAGATAGAGGTTTTTTCACTTAATATTGTTGATAGAGCCATGAGAAAATTTAACCACATTATAAATGATGACCAAAAAAGTAAACTAAAATCAACATTTGATAAAATAGATAAATGCAAATATTATATCTACCATACATCCCACACTTATCATGCCAGATTTTTTTGGAAGTTTAAAAAAAATAAAATAAAAATCTTATTCTGGTTTATAAACCTTTGAATAAAATTAGTCAAACATTAAATGAAACTAAAGACGTAATTAATGTAATGGACAAAATAGATATCTATAACACTGAATGTGAATGTTGTTGTGTATACATTAGTCAAAGTAAAAGAAATTTAGAGTAAACAAACATAAGTGTTCAAAATAATAAAAGTGAAAATTCTGCATTAGCTGAACATTTATCTCGTACTGGTCATATTCAGTGGGGGGAAAAAAAACTATCACAGAATCTATAGAAATAATAAAACATTAAAAATAGAATAATTACATATCTTGAATAAAGATGAAGATTATCAAGTCAAAAAGTATGCAGATGGCATGATCTTATTTAAGTACAATATGTAAATTTAATAGTTACATGTCTAATTGTGTTGCACCAATTTTTTGATTTTACACTCCTGAGGATGACGTGATTGTATGTGGAAACATGTAGAGAGTCTTTTTTGAGACTGTTGATGGTCTTGGAATAGTTTTAAATTATACACTTAAAAAAATTGATTGTTTTAATGTTTTAATTATTCATTTACACAAGTACCCCAAATTTTAACCTTTTAACATAATGAAAGTATTATTAGACTTCCTAAATATTTTTATTCATGATAAGTGTACACAAACATAAGCAAATTAAAGTTTAATTCAAAGATACAATATAAACTGTCCTTGAGCTTGCCCCTTTTTAGACTTAAAGTGAGTTCAGCCAATGACAAAATAGGCATAGTATGATCCCCATGCTTAAAAATAGAAGTCTAGATTGTGATATGCATGGTTACAGACACCAAAATAAAAATCTTCAAAGTTTAGTCACTTCTAGCAAAGTCCAAAGGCTGTGGTAAAGGAGTTGATTGTGATGAACAGTTGTACACTGAAACATCAGCATTTTAATATACTATGATAGTGTCCAAACCAGGTGAGGATTCTTCACACAAAAAACCATCAAGTGAACAATAATTAGTCCCAGATGTGATCCCAAAACAAAGCTAAAATTAGATATTTTAATAATACAATCCAAGTAATTGAATTACACCAAGACTACCAGTACAATGATAATAGTTCATCACCAAATGCTCTAAATATCATTATTATGATTAATTTTTTTCTGGCTAAGTTATAAAACTCAGAAATATAATTACTGTTCAATTTTTACAATTTAGGGATGTGTAAGACTATGTTATTATTACTTTGTTAGCCATTTCATATAACAAGTTTTATTATATGATAGGAGGGCAGTATTATTTCAAGATCAATACATTATTATGTTTCATTCCAAAAATTTTATATGACACCATATTCCTCTTGAATTATTAATATTCTTTGAACGTTCTTTTAAATACTATTAGCCTTACAGGTTTAACTAACTGGTATCCTCCTACTGTAACATTAGCTCAGGGTTTTCTGGAAACAAACTAGGCCTAAAATTAATTTTCATATCTATGTAACAAAATATGTAGCCAGATAAAACATTCAGAATTAATTTGCAATTATTTTTGGACAAATGACAACATTTTAGCTGTTACTGTTACTAGTGTTAGTAATATTTTTGAGTATGATAAAAAAAACATTTAAATTTGTTATTACTGTTAGTATTACAACTTATACAAGCACTTTGCAATTGTAGTATTTGGTGTGTGTTTGTGTACTAACACTAACGTAAGATTCTATTAAATAATCAACAGTGCTGGTAGTTGCGTTAGTTTCGAATAACTCGTATTTCAACATTAGGCCTAACAGAATTTTTCTTGAAATACTGCCAATATGCTTAAGAGTTCAAGCTACGACGTAACGTCATGTTTATAATGATACAATTTCTACTTCAAGTTGAATACTCCTAGCTACAAACTTAACGACTTCTAACGGTAACACTACCACAGTATGTTAAATTACGTTAGTAAAAGAGCTAAATCTAATATCTGCTCTAAATCCATATACTGATATAGAAATGTAAATAAAAAAAAACATTCTCACCAAATATTTTCTTAACTGGGCGTTGAAAGCTCCTACAATTCATTCGGAAACAGAAAATGAATATTCCACTTTTTGGTTAAGTTAACCTTTTCCAACTGTCAAAATCACAATTAACTGCAGATAAACTACACAAACGTTATCAACTTGATATAGGTTTTATTTACCGCATGTGGACAAGCTCCCTCGAGCAGTGCTCTCGTACTTGCTACATCCGGTACACATGCACCCACGTTTTGTTCGATACCATTACCCGTTCCGACTTGAGTCATCTCAAGAAATGTTTTCAAGACTTTATGTAATATGAACTTTTTTTTTTTT